GCCTCTGTGCAGGAATCTTCTAACTAAGCTGCTTTATTGCTGAAAGCCTGCACAGGAATATTCTCAGCTAATGGTTGCCACCTGCTAGGACCTAGATTTAAGGGGTCCACAGAATTCAAGGTTTGGACTTAGTTCACCTGTGGCTACATACGGATGCTAGGCTGATTCCTTTTTTGACTCCTCCCCCAGCTTCTGCCAATCCTTTTTTTTTTTACAGCGGGGGGGGGGGTTGCTTAACAACCAGGCGACTCCGTTAGCATCGGCTTAACGACGGGGGGCAAGAAAGGTCTTCAAATGGGGCAGCATTCGCTTCAGAACTTGTCTCACTTAGCTCAGAGAAAAGTTGGACTTGATTGTGGCCATAAATTGAGAACTACCTATAGGATCCCGATCCAAGTAGCTAACCCGGGCTGGGGAATTCTGGGAATTGAAGTCCACCCTGGCCTAGAGGGACCTCACCTCAGAGGTCCATGCAGACTTCTCAGGGGCGGGATCCAAATTTCTTAACAACCGGTTCTGTGGGTGTGGCCTAGTTTGTGGGCATGGCTTGGTGGTCATCTGACTGGCTGGGCGTGGCTTATATGTAAATATTATAAATATTTATTTAAATATTATTTTTTTATATAAAAAAAGAACTTTTACCCAAAAGCAGGCAGAGTAGTCAGGCAGATTGAGTTGCTCACAGAATCATAGAGTCACTTAGAGATCTATCTATCTGCAATCTGCTACCTGAGTCTGTCACATAAAATTTGCTTGCAAGCAAACTCATAAAATTTGCTAGCAAGCAAACTCACAAAATTAACTCATAACACACCATGCATGTAAGTATTGAATTTTTTATTTAAAAAATAGCAACTTTTACCCAAGATCAGGCAGAGCAGGCAGGCAGATTGAGTTGCTCGCAGAATCACAGGTTCATTCAGAAATCTATCTTTCTGCAATCTGCTACCTGAGTCTGCACTGAAAAATAGAAGCTTCGGTTCTAAGGAAGGCTCAGCTCTGCTTTTAGATTAGCTAGAAAGCAAGAAATCCAACCGTTTCCTGCTTTCTAGCTAATCTAAATCCCCCAACTCCTCCTTTCACGGTATTTCATACAGCTGCTCCCAAACAAACCAGGATTGGAATCTGGGTTGATGGTTTTAAGCTGTCCAGTTTGGGGAAGGGGCTTCCAAGAAACTGAAGGTGGGGTACAGGGTAGTCCTCGACTTAACAGCAGTTCATTTAGTGATGGTTCGCAGTGTCCCGGGGTTTCTGATTCACTTAACAACAGGGTGATTCACTTAACAACTGAAGGGATTCGCTTAATAATGGCGGCGAGACAGGTCGTAAAACAGGGCAAAACATACCAAACGACGGTCTCCTGCAGCCCCAGAAATGTGGGGCTCCCTTGCGTGGTCGTAAATCGAGGACTTGCCTGTATTTTTAACTATGTTGGGAATTTGGATGAGGTTGGGCTAGGAGGGGCTTTTGGGGGTGGGCTTGAAGTGCTTTCTTTCCCACTGTGACTCCCCCAACTCTCCCTCTTGGGCGGGGGGTTGGACTAGATGACCTACAAGGTCCCTTCCAACTCAGATGATCTGCTCTCTGTTAACTCACCCAGCAGCGAGAAAACAAGATCTTTGGCCTGGAACAATTCGGGGTCCTTCCTGCCGTCAGGGCTCCTGGCTTGGTGTTCCTGGATGAGTTGGTTCAGCTCCGCAATCTGCACCCCAGAATGGAAGTCCAGGTCCGTGAGGGGCTTGGCAGGGGCCGGCTTGGGTGGGGGGTCCTCGGAGGGAGATGCCATCCCCGGCGGGTCACACAAGCGTCTTCCTTGCGGAAGGAAAAGTTAAATCAAAGAGGGTTGGATTAGATGATCTCCAAGGTTTCTTCCAACTCCCTTAATTTAATCTCATCCTGATTGAGCATGGGGGCTGGACTAGATGACCTCCAAGATCCCTTCCAACTCCCTTAATTTCATCTCATCCTGCTTGAGCATGGGGGGTGGACTAGATGACCTCCAAGGTCCCTTCCAACTCCCTTAATCTTGTTAATCCCATCTCATCCTGTTTGAGCATGGGGGCTAGACTAGATGATCTCCAAGGATCCTTCCAACTCCTTTAGTCCCATCTCATCCTGTTTGAGCATGGGGGCTGGACTAGATGACCTCCAAGGTCCTTCCCAACTCTGTTAATCCCATCTCATCTAACTTTGCTTGAGAAGGGGGGCTGGACTAGATGACCTCCAAGGTCTCTTCCAAATCCATTAATCCCATCTCACCCTGCTTGAGCACGGGGGCTGGACTAGATGACCACCAAGGTCTCTTCCAACTATAAATCCCATCGCATCTAACTTTGCTTGAGAAGGGGGGCTGGACTAGATGACCACCAAGGTCCCTCCCAACTCTGTTAATCCCATCTCATCCTGTTTGAGCATGGGGGCTGGACTAGATGACCTCCAAGGTCCCTCCTAGCTCTATTCTAGTTTACTTCCCCTCTCCCCCCCCCCCCCCAAAAAAAAACCCGGAATACATTTAGAAGCTAAGGAAACTCTGGGCTGGAGACCACGAGGAGACCCCGGTATCTAGGCTTCACCAGGAAGCTGAGAAGGCCAAGAGAAGGACGGAGACGCACCCACAGGTGTGGCCAGGTGCATCCGGGTTGGGACAGGTGCAGCCCCCGTCCCGCTTCCCTCCCGCGCCCCCGGGGCGCCCCCTCCCCCCTCGGGGCTCCCCTACCCCCCCCCCCCCCCCCCCGAGGTCCCAGCTGGGGAATTCTGGGAGTTGAAGTCCACACTTTCCTCAAGCTGCCAAAATGGAGAAACTCAGCTGCTCTAGGCATACTTCATTTAGTGGCCGAAGTTACAACAGCCCTGGGGAAAAAACAAAAAACCAGTGACTTACCACCGGTCCTCGTGTTTATGACCGTGGGCAGCATTCCCTTACGGGTCATGTGGTCAAGATTCAGGCCCGGATTTTACAGGCCTGTTTTTTTGTGAAAGTTAAGGCTGTGTTGTGTGAACGCCAGACGAAATACACACAGACACACACACAACTAACTGTCTTGCTTAGTGGTGGAAATTCTGGCCTTCAGTTTGTGGTCATTAAGTGGAGGGCTGCCCTTCCCTTGTGAGGCTTCCTTGCCGACAAGCTCTCCACACCGGGTTTGTCTGCGATGGCTCGGAAGGCTTGGCCAACCTACAAACCATCATTCAGGGTTTAGTATCCATGGGGCCTGAATCTGCTGGCTTATGCAACTGACCCTGATTAAAAGTTAACCCAGGGTTTTTGGAGGACATGCCACATTCAGATGGAGTTTTCTGTGTGTCCAGCGTGAACTAGCATGCATTTGTCGGGGTTGGACTAGAAGACCTCCGAGGTCCCTTCCACCTCGGTTATTCTTGTTCCTTTCTGGGGGTTCTCCAGTCCAAACGGCGCCTCGAAATGTAAAATTATGCCCTTAGAGGGGGAGCAGGATGCCAAAATTATGCTCGGGGGTTGGAAGGGCAGATCAAATCAGGGGCACAGCAAAAAACATTCCGTCCTTGGGAAGATGCTGATGGACAGCTGTCAAAGATGGACACATACCCCACAAAAAATTTTTAGTTGAGACACTTACAAAAAAAAAAAAAAAAAGGATTTGCAAAGACAACTAGGCCCGAGGCCACGTGAGCAGCAACACACCATGGAGAGGGGTTTTTATGGGGTGGATGGATTGACCTTTAATGTTCGTTACCCAAACCACCATAAGCCCACTTTGGACATCCCCTGTTCTCCTTTTCCTCCTCCTCCTCCCTGCTTTGTCACTCAAAGGTTTATTTCGTGCGGTACACCCAGTCGGTGTCTGGCGGGGTCTCAGCTCGGGACAGCCTGGGCTTTGCGCCGGCCGCCCTGCCTTCAGTCGGCGGGGCCCCCGCTTGCATGAGGGTGTTGACGATGTTGTGGAAACGAGGAGGACTCCCGGCCGACACCTGCAGCTGCTGCGTTGCGGGTGTGGGGGGCTCCGGCTCTCGTCCACGGCGCTGCTCGTGTGCCATGAACTCGGCCTGCTCGTCCTGGCTGAGAGTTCGTCGACGGTGGGCCCTTTCAGGCGTCGGCGAGCGACTCCCCGGTGGGGTCTGAGGGTGGACGGGGTAGATGTAGACTCGGGCAGGACGCTGGGAGTGCTGTCCAGGGGGTAGATATTCCGCCTCCTGGCCGCTGGCTATCGAACGCCTTTGGGGCTCCGCCACCATAGTCCGTCCGTATGGTTCGGTGGACACAAGGGTGTTCCGCCGGTCCTCAGTGGGGACATTAGTGAGCAGGTCGGACGTCCCTACGGCGACGTCTCGGAAACGAGGGCTGGGGTAGGCCGAGGGGGCTGAGGAGGTCCGGGGCCGGGGCCGGGGCCGGTTGTCGCATTCGCAGTTGTAATAACGGGGTGAGCAGCAGCATGGCAGATAATCAGGGCAGGAGTGGCGGTGGTGGCGGTGTTCCCGGCATCGGCATCGGAAGTGTCCATTTTCCAAGTTCATGGTGACCTTGAGTGGTTCTAGGGTACACTGGAGGCAGCGCCGTGGTGGGGACCGGCTGCGTCGCCGCCGCCGTGGTGGGGGATCGTCATTGGAGAATTGTAGCGACGGCTTTCGCGGGGATGCTTTCTTCACTGGGCGGACGAGAACCAGCGGTTTTTCGGGTTCTGGAAAAGAAAGGAATAACTGTTGGCAAAATGGGCACGTGGGAAATGCAAGAGGCTGGGGTTGGGCGCTGCCACGCCGGTGTCAAAGCGTTGTGGCAGCCTCCGTAACTCCGTGGACACAGAGCCGGTGGGGGTTTCTCGAGCAAGATCGAACCTTGGGTTTCTCGTACAGGAATCCTTTTTACGGTGCGTCTTCAGGGAAAAAAAGATCTGACGGTTCAAAAAAGGGATAGGGGGGTTTACAGGTAGTCCTTGACTTACAAGGGTTCGTTTAATGACCCCCCTCGAAGTTACAACGGCCCTGAAAAAAAGCAAATTAAGACCGTTTTTCACACTTATGACCGTTGCGGTCAAAATTCAGAGGCTTGGCCACTGACTCGTATTTATGATGGTTGCGATGTCTGGGGGTCATGTCATCCCCTTTTTGCGACCAAGTCAATGGGGGAGCAGGATTCACTTAATGACCCTGTGACTAATTTAACAACAGCAGTGATTTACTTAATGGGGGCAAGAAAGGTCGTGAAAGAGGGCAAAACTCACTTAGCAACGGTCTGGCTTCACAACAGACATTTTGGGTTCAGTTGGAAGTCGAGGACTGCCTGTACACAGAGTGCAAACACAAACACACACACACACACACACACCCCGAACATTCCCTGCTGAAACCCCAGAAGGGACAAACGGCGAAGTTTGATCCTGCTCGTGTTCCGTGTCTGAAGCCACCAAACGTGGCCTCCGCACCCTCACTTTTGAAACCCCTAAAATGATGGAAGCAGGCCCAGACCTGCCAGAGAAAGAAATGGTGCGTAATATTGCCATTTTAAAAAGGGTTTTCAACTTTTATTTTCATTTCATTCTACGTAGGTTCGTTGTTTTGTGTTGTTGTTTTGTTTTATATATACATATACATACATACATACATACATACATACATACATACATACATACATTATATAAAGAAAGAGCAAACAGTTTCAACATCTACATAAATGGCTTATTGTCTGGTTATGGTTAATTTGAGCAATAGCCATCATCATCATCATCATATTCATTCACAGTGATCATGGAATAACAATATTTTAATATCATTCTATTCTATTCTATATTTTTCTTATAATGTAATAATATTTTATTATAATTTTATTCTGTTCTATATTTTGTTATCATGTAATAGCAATATTTTATTATAATTCTATTTTATATTTTTGTTATCATATAATAGCAATATTTTATTATAATTCTATTCTATATTTTTGTTATCATATAATAACAATATTTTATTCTATTATAATTCTTATCATATAATAATATAATAAACACAGAATAGAATAATAAATGGAATGGGAATGGAATGGGAATTGGAATAGAATAGAATATATGGAATGAAATAAGAATAGAATAGAATATAGAATAGAATTCTTTTATTGGCCAAGTGTGATTGGACACACAAGGAATTTGTCTTGGTGCAAATGCTCTCAGTGTACATAAAAGAAAAGATACATTCGTCAAGAATCATATTAAATACATAGTCCCTTTATTATATTTTTCTGGTGTGACACCCAACAGAAATAGTCCTGGTTTTCAATCTATATGTTCCTTTATCATTATTTTTTTTTAATCCGAGTTATGTATTTTTGCCTAGTATGTCTTGGCTTTTGGGCACGGCTTCCTTTTATGTACTTTGCATGGGTTACAACTTGCTCTGAGATACCTAGGAGAACAAGAGGGTGAAAATACTCCAATAGACCCATGTAAAAATTCCCAACTTTGCTGTCCGTTTTACACCGCACACTTCCGTATGTGCCATAACGTTTCATGACTGATGGGTTTTTTAAAAAATTTGCTGCTTAAACCACGGTGCAATTTCCCCATTTCCAGAAACAAACTTTTATCGCTCGCTTCTCTATTTACAAGAGAGATAACACTGCCTTCAAACTAAAATGTTGAGAGTCCCTCGGAAGCTATTAATAAATGTTAGTGCCTGTTTTATTGTTGGGTTTAAAGGGTGGATTAGTACCTTTGGACAATCTTGGTTCCTGCTGCAACCTTTTTTTAAATATACTGTGTGTGTGTGTGTATATATATATATATCATAAATTCCATTTTTGTATTTGTTTACCAGGTGTCCAACGTGTTAAAATATAAACATCAATATCATCAATATAATAATGTACATAGACATATATGCGATAATATCAATCATTATTGAAAAGTGTACTATATTCCATTATTATATCAATTGTATAACCATCAAAATATTCACTAATTTTCTTCCATTATAATATCAATTATATAACCATCAAAATATTTACTAATTTTCTTCCATTATTAATATCAATTATATAACCATCAAAAATATTTACTAATCATTTTTTCTTTCTCATGTGGTCTGTGGTCTCAGATTGGACTGCTATTTGTCAGAAATGGTGTAGGCGGGGAGGGGGGTTGGACTAGATGACCTACAAGGTCCCTTCCAAACTCTGATTATCTGTAAATCTGTAATTTCACATAAATCCACTCGTCTAACTTCTGTATCTGTCAGCTAACCATCTGTAGAAAAGTTCCCACATAACAAAATATTCCGAATCTTCTTTTTCTTTGATTTTTTTTAAGGTTAACCTAGCCATTTCTGCGCATTCCAGAATTTTATTTTATTTTGTATTATATTATATCATCTGTAGGGGTTTCTATGTTTTTCCAGTACTGGGTGTTATATAATCCTGGCTTCTGTTAGAGAAGTCAGCGGAGAATGCTAAATAAATAAAACATCGAGCAAACCAATAATCAAACAAGAGGCAGAGAAGGATTTAGCACCGCTTTGTAAAGCCTTAGTAAGGCCACACCTGGAATCCTGCGTCCAGTTTTGGTCACCGGGTTTACAAAAAAAGAGGTTGAGGCTTTTGGAAAGAGTGCAGAGAAGAGCAACTAAGAGGATAACAGAATAGCAGAGTCGGAAGGGATCTTGGAGGTCATCTAGTCCAACCACCAGCTCAGGATAACAGAATAACAGGAATTAAAAGCCTGGAGTCTAAAACATAGGAAGAACCGTGGCAGGAATTGGATATGTTTTAGTTCAATAGAAAGAAGGACTGGCGGGGACATAATAGTAGTCGTCCAGTATTTGAGGGGCTGCCCCAAAGAAGAGGGGGAGGTCAAATTATACTCCTGAAGACAAGAAACAATGGATGGAAACTAACCAAGGAGAGAAGCAACCTGGAATTAAGGAGAAAATTTCCTAACAGGGAGGACAATTAGCCAGGGGAACTGCTTGCCACCAGAAGGTGTGGGTGCTTCATCCCTGGAGGCTTTTAAGGAGACAGAACAGCCACTTGTCTGAAATGATATAGGGTCACCTGCTAGAGCAGGGGGTTGGGCTAGATGACCTCTGAAGTCCCCTCCAACTCCGTTAATTCTGTCAATCTCCTGCTAGAGCAGGGGGTTGGACTAGATGACCTCCAAAGTCCCTTCCGACTCTGTTAATTCTGTCACGGTCTGGACTAGAACAGGGGTCGGCGACCTTAAACACTCAAAAAAGCCACAAAAGTCCTAACCGGAAGCCCTCCGTTCAATTTTAGAGCTGACCAGACTCTATGGCAGTTCCCCAACCATAGAGTCTCCTCCTAGCGTGGCATCCTTTTTCCTCTACCTGTACTAACCAAAAGCCTATCAATTGTGGAGCCGACCAGACTCTATGGCGGTTCCCCTCCAACCATAGAGTCTCCTCCTAGCGCGGCGTCCTTTTTCCTCTACCTGTCCTGACCAAAAGCCCTATCAATTGTGGAGCTGACCCGGCAACAGAGCCACAGGTTGGCGACCCCTGGACTAAGAAGACCTCCAAGATCCCTTCCAACTCTTGTTATTGTGCAATAGCTCTTGCTTGAGCAGGGGGTTGGACTAGATGACCTCTAAGGTCCCTTCCAACTCTTGTTAAAATCCAGAGAGATGGATTGGACGGAGAAGAGCACCATGGTCTCTCTTTCAACCCAACCACCTTTATCCCAAAGGTGTTTTCTTTCTTTCTTTCTTTCTTTCTTTCTTTCTTTCTTTCTTTCTTTCTTTCCTTCTTTCTTTCTTTCTTTCTTTCTTTCCTTTCTTTCTTTCCTTTCTTTCCTGTCTTTCTTTCTTTCATTCTTTCTTTCTTTCTTTCCTTTCATTCTGTCTTTCCTTTCTTTCTTTCTTTCTTTCCTTCCTTCCTTCCTTTCCTTTCTTTCTTTCTTTCTTTCCTTTCTTTCATTCTTTCTTTCTTCCTTTCCTTCCTTTCTTCCTTTCTTTCTTTCTTTCTTTCTTTCTTTCTTTCTTTCTTTCTT